TCTCATGCCAAACTTCAGCCTCAAAGACTCTTATTTGCTATTCATGACTGGCTTTGCGTCTAAAAGGTAGCTTTGGTAGGGGGAAATGCTGATTTTATTGTGCATTAGGTTATCTCCATCAGGAAAACCACCTAAACGTGTGCTTGTAATAACTACAAGGAAGGGATCACATAGGGGGCTCCTGTCATAATCAAATTCCACCTTGCCTTGCCTGTGTTCAACTTCTTTAACATTGTGTATAGTCTGCTCCTGTCATAATCAAATTCCACCTTGCCTTTACATGTAATTGTCATATTAGCACTTTTTTTTTCTTTCTATTTTTTTTTTTAAAATGGTGTAATTCTTATGAAAATATGTGTTGGCATGAATATCATTATCATCACCATCATCCTTGCCTTTACCCCAACCTTATGGTCGGCCATATGAATTATCTTCTTCGATTCTCTATGCCGGAAAATAATTATCTCAGCTGTAGCAAATCTTAACTAATTCCTTCACAGTAACTGATCAAATAGAATTACCATGTCTAGTCCACTAATATAAAAATTCCTCCATAACTGTTTCCCTTATATTAAAATGGTGAATTGATAAATTATGAGAAATCTAATGGAGTCATTTGTAGGACAACTATGCAATATGCTCCATTTGTTTCATGAACTGTAAATTCTGTCTACTTAATTGGATCATAAAAACTAGTTCCGAGTGAAAGCAAATAAGAAAAGCAATTATATGATTTGAAACAGAGAAATGTACAATAACAATCAAAGTATCACGCTATTTGATACAGTTCCTAATTGGTACAATATTGGGACTGCATTTGATGCTTCAGCCCCTGACAGATGAATGAGACAGAACTGGAAGCCCCCATTGAGTGGAGAAGATAATACTGGGATATGCTCCATCAACTTTCATTCTGTTCACAATGTCACGGCATATCCTTGCAAACCTGCTTGACCATACAACTGCAGAAAAAATCTTCAAAGTAAGCTTCCGAGAGCGCGATAACCGAAGACCCTTCAGTCTTCCATTCATTTTCTTCACCCAATGCCTTCCAGGCCTTCCCACCTTTTCATTCCTTTTGGTTAGCTTCTCATATTGACATCCCAACCTTCCCCCCTGGAAAACCATCTGCTGCACTGAGGACCAAGAAGATAGGAGATGCAGAGAGGAGGTGAGATTGTAGGACTTTTGGTATTGTTGTGTGTTATAGATATATAAAGGGGGAGAGCTAGTGGGGGCTAAATGGAGGCAATGGATGAAGATTCTGGTTTTAATGTTCATTCAAACACATAACAGTAACAGAAAGAGACTGATATTACATACATTGTAACATTAAGATTCCCTATGACACATGGCTGCCTTCATATTTTAGCTCAATATACTCTGCATTGAGAAAGAGAGATGGATACATTGATATAATGCCTTGTATATCTGCTTTTTAACACATGGCTACCACCACATACATAACCACCTCTGTGATTGTAAGCAGCTCTCTTGCTCTCTTGAGTTTATTAAAATGAGATGGAGGAATTGTTATATGATTAGAGGAATATTACTGGCATGTGCAATGATTGATGTCCATGTTAGGGTCGAAAATCAGAGCCAATCATTTGCTAAAGAAAGTGAAGTTTGCAGTTGTGATCTTTAGCCAAAAGCTGATTTACTTGATTCTTTACTAATCTGATACTAATGAGTCCATAATCAAGTCAAGATTATGATCTGTTGGTCTAATTTGTCCTTCATTGAAGAAAATAGTGGTTGGGCATTGGCAATTGTTTAATTAAGGGGCCATGTTGGTTTTTTGTGCACCCTATTTTGGTCTGACTAAGAAAACTGCACCATATTGGTTGGGCCTTCATCAGTTCTGTGGGATCAAATTTGAAAGGCCACAGTAGTTGACCTAATTTAAGGGAAGAAGCCCAAGAACTAAATTATCTGAAATTTTCACAATATAGTCCAAAAGAAGGCCTAGAAATAGAGCACTAATGGAAAGGTATAATGGCATGTTTACTAATCCGGAATTGAATTAGGGGGAATTGAATTGAGGATGAATTGAATTGAGGAGGAGTTGGATTTAGGAGAATTAGATTCCGGATTCTGAATAAGGGGGAATTGAATTGAGGATGAATTGAATTGAGGAGGAGTTGGATTTAGGATAATTAGATTCCGGATTCCTAATGAAGTTGTTTACTAAACCATAGGGATTGAGGGGAGTTAGATTCCGAATTCCTATTGAAGTTGTTTACTAAATCATAAGGAATTGGGGTATAAGTGGGACTAATTATTAAAATGTCCTCATTTTTTGGTTAAAGTAGATGGTGTATTTGGAAATTTGAAAATTGTGTGAGGATATAATGGGTAAAAAAGATGAATTCCTAATTGGTGAATTCTCCAGGAATTAGAATACCACCTCCCATTCAGTAATTGAATTCCTCCAAAATCAGGAATTCAATTCCTAATTTTTAGGAATTAGAATACCACCTCCCATTCAGTAATTGAATTCCTCCAAAATCAAGAATTCAATTCCTAATTTTGTGTGGGCCCCGCTTACTTTTTCAATTCCTTATGTGAAGTAAATGCAGGAATTCTCTATAGGCGGAATTCAATTCCTGATGAGAATTCCAATTCCTGATTAGTAAACATGCCATAAGTTCTGTGTCATCGCAAAGGACTTATAAGTGTAGTGATTTGAAGTATTTTATTTCTTCAGATAAGGTCCCTGGTTCGAGTCCTAGTATCTATGTAGTGTGTGTGAGTTTAGTGTGCTGCCCCTCTCAATGAGAAATGTCTTTAAAAAAAAATTAAAAAAAAGTTATGTGTCACCATCTAATCAGGATGCATAAAAAAACCCTCCCTCTCTCAACTTTTTGTTATGTAAAGTTTAACAGACCAAACAATTAGCCACTTGGTGTCTTTCACGATACCAATTGTTAACCTGGTCTCTCTCATATCATGCCGTCAAGTGGCAAACCTAAACTGTAGTCATCCAAAATTGAAAGCTTTCTATCATGTTTTAGCTTTAAGGTTGCACGGGAGAGGGGATTCGAATTTAGAACTTTTTTCAATATTAAGAAGAAAAGTACCACTAAATTATGAGCCCGTAGGTTATGTTGATAGGCTAAATAGCTCGTATTTTAATCTTCAACCTTATGGTATATACTCTGGAGCCAAACCCAATTGTTAATTAATTGCAGAGATTAAGGAAATACATCTGTCTCTACCCTCAAGATTAATTGACAAGTTAAATATCCTCCCATATGAATTAATATTGGGAACATAACTCGAGGAATATTAGTACTGCTGGAACAAGGAAATGTAGGTGCCTCATGGCTCATGCCATCTTAATTTTCCAGCTAGATAATTAAGCTTCCTGTTGCAGTCTCTGCAGAGCCTTCTTGTCAGATCTATTTAGAGTCAAACGAATATATAAAGAGCTTTCCACATCTCATTTTTCTTAGCAGGTATGTTACCGTTGCCATGCAGTCAGTTTATAAATCTGGTTGACTTTGTCGCCAAAGATTAATATATGTTCTATATGTTCTAAGAAACCCTATTTTTCCTGATGATAAGCAAACACATATCCTTTTCTTGCGCAAGTTTTTTTCTTTTTTCCACTGAGTGAATTGTCAACTGAGCAGTGAGCACATTCATCTTGATGATGAGTTGTCCATGAAAACAATGTTGTATTAATTCCATTAATTTTTATCTCATTTTCTCAAAAATAATTATATCCCTCCTAAAAATTGCATCCCAACTCAACTTGTTTATGGGATCTGTCTTTATCAGCATCTGAAATGAAAGATTCTGCAAACCCAGCCAACCCATAAAGATGAAAGATGAGCACTTTGTAGAAAAAATCCTTTTATGCATCTGTCATGCTGCTGCGGAATGTAAAAAAATATTGATTAATCTAGCCCATTCATTTTATTAATTCATATATTCCACCAATATCTGACGTTGATCTGCAATGAAGCCATGCCGTGATAATATATTTATATGAAGAGCAGAGCATGCTCAACCATGCCACTTTCTTCTGCCAGTAATAAAAAATGTACTAAAAAGATTAGATCTTTATGCGTAATCTTGACAGTAAAACACTTTTTAATCAGGAATATCATGATTAAGAAAAAGGGTTAACTCAGATGGGCTGGAATTTAATAAGATAAGCAGTCTAGCTTATAGAACACTTAAAGCTGAGTCACAGAGTCTGGTTGGCTCTTATTAATTTATCCTGCATAAAATTAGTGACGGAAATACCAATCAACCTCAACCTCACTTTGCCCTAATAATCTGAATGTGTAGCAAGCAACAGTGGAGATGGCAATACCAGTGGATCACTAGGAAAAAAGGGTTTTCACCAAAAAAGCAAAAGAAAAAGGGGCAAAGTGTACACAGAATATGAAGGGTAAAAGCTATTGCTTTTGTGATCAATTTCAACACCGACTTTAAACAGTCTAAGGAGCAGCATGCAATGCAAGGTGCAAAAGTCACAGTTCCCCAACAATGACTTTTTTGCTTCATCTTTCATTCAAACTTGGATCCTTGAGCTGCTGCTTGACCTTTTTGGGTTTTGCCCTCCCTTGAGAGTTCAGACTTTCAACTTGATTGAATGCACAAATTTTGTTCCCATTTGCCTCTTTGCAAAGGTCAACAGCTGCCTTATTCCAAGCCGAAAATGGACCTCAAACTTTGTGTAACCCAGAAACCAAACCCTTAGAAGGTGGTATCCATTCCATTCTACTTTGAGATTCTCAATCTCATCATACATAAACTAAGATTTTATTATTTTGGGATTCTCACACCAATTATATATAAATGAGTAAATAAATTATCCAAAATTACTAAAAAAAACTAACCATTTTTCTAAATTCCTCCTACCCCTACCCTTAAAATAGAAATAAAAAATAGCATAACATTAACAACTAGCATCACCGAATAAATAGAATGGAAAACATCATGTATATAACTGGTTAACTCGTGGAAACAACGCCAAATTTTGGCACTTTTTTTCTTCAAAAAAAAAAAAAGAAAAAAAAGAAAAGAAAAAAACAAGGAAAAGAATTAGAAATTACACGAGTACCGGTACTTCTTCTACCAGAAACAGTAGGAGTTTTTGCATTTGCGTGTATGGTGGTAATTGTTTAGCAGACGGCAGAGTCTTCTTCTCCGGTAGGCAAGGCCATATCTGAGTCTAAAGCAGACCAACTTCCTAAGCTTCCGAGCTGAACGCAGCCTCAACCATATGACCTTCTTGGCTTTGCAAAAAGACCCTTTGATCCTCTCTGTCAGGCTCTTCTTCCTGCTGAACTGGTAGCTTCTAAGAAAAAGCTGCCTCTTCTCCATCATCGTGTAGTTGTTGCTGCTCAGCTCCATGTAGCTGTTGTAATAGCACCCACTGCCGCTGCTGCTGCTGCTATTCAGTGAGTTACTTCTACTGATTGATGGGTTTGGGCCCACATGGTGAATGCTCTGTCCCCACAGGCCGGCCATTGAAGAACTTAGCCAGAGGGAGAAACAGAGAAAACAGAGAGACAGAGACAGAAACACAGAGAGAGAGAGAGGACTTAGTTGTCTTTTCCTTTGGATGTGTGAGAGGAGTTATGAGATGGAGGTTGAAGAAGAGGGTGGGGGGTTTAAAGAGAAATATAAAGGGATGGTTTAAGAGTCTGGAAGTGTATAAATTCTACGAACCTGTGTTGGTTAAGTCATAAGTTGGGCAAGCGAGCAGTGGGCCGCCACAGGAGCTAGCTAGCCAGGACTGCTTGGCGTGCTTGCTGCCTCATTGCTTTTTCTTCTCTTCTAAATTAGCATCCCTCTCTCTCTCTCTCTCTCTCTCTCCAATCCTATATAGTAATGTTTTTGCTTTAACACGTGGTTAGTCGGATAAGCTCATGGTCTTTTTAGATGGACGGTCACGTGCCTTTTGTGTTTTGGCTTTCCCTTTTTCTTCTTGGACTTTCTTTTCTTTCCTTCACTCTTGCTGTTGCATGAGAGAAATGGGATGGTTAGGTTCTATGATGCTATGAAGCTATGATGCCATCATCCTGTAACTTTTTTTGTTTTCACCAACTTCATCATCTTTTCAGGTTATTCTAATCAGCACCCGGGATATGAGAAAAAACTTCTCTGTCACCGGTTCTATACAACGTTGTGTCTATCTCTCTCATCACGTTGCAACTACACACAATTATGAGAGAAATAAACACATCGTTATATACAACCGATTACACTTAATTATTATTATTTTTTTAGGAAAACAACCCTATAATAGCCTAAAAAGTGGATTCTACATAGCTAGGTTTCACTTCATTAGGAGTGTTTATGTAGATGATAGGACTAGTTTATGCAATTTGAGCATTAATCCCCAACTAAGTTGAGTTCTAACTTCAATACTTTAAAAAATGCCATTATAAAACTAGCTTTGAGTTGTTTGAAGAAGCAGCAACAGAGTAAGACAGATAAGCCAAGGCTGCTGGGTGACTTGCGTGAGATGAGAAAATTGTCCAACGATTATTATACAAAGGTCAATACCAAAAAGAGAGAATAGATTAACTCCCAAATGGTTATTAAAAAGTTAGTCAATACCAATTTGAGAAGAGATTAATGCATGTAAGTCTTAACCAACCCATACATTTTGCATGTTCTACCTTTACAAGTTTACTATTTATGAATTATAAGTAGGTCATGCAATTTATATAGTCGCTCTTTCAACTCCCGTGCTCATGACAACATCTCAAGTTTCAAACCAGATGCACCAAGAGTCATAGGAGGACTTAGCGTCTAAGGCTCTTTAAGGAATTTCTGCTCCACCTCAGCAAACTAAACAAAATTCTAAGCTAATTCAGCAAACACAAAAATTAATAGTCAATCATATCCAGAAGCCTATCGCTTTCGTTCGTGACGAAAAGCCCGATAGTCATGGTTGCCAGACTACCATTTTAGCACTGTAAGTCTGCATCATCCTTGCCTCATCAAATATATGAATCAGAACCTCAATCAATCATTTCAATAACAAAGGATAGTCAAACCTACACAATCACATAATAGAAGTATATCAAAACATCTTTGATCGCACTGCCATGCAACTGGTAAAATCACTATTGGTAACTACAGTAAAAACTGCTCTCTCATCTCCTTGATTGTTTGGCAAGAAAATAGATAGGGAACAACAAGACGAACCATGTACCAAGGCCCAACTCAGAAAAAAAAAAAAATCGATATCAAGTCAATGAAATCCAATAAGCAACAGAACTCTTCATTGGGCAACTAAAAAAGGAGGGAAAAAAAACAAAATCAATTTCATGTTTCCTATTGTGATCTAGCACGTATGACAATTAGATTTTCTGTATCTACAATGCACACTGAACTAACAAGCCATTGAAAACAATTTCACTGGGAAGCCTGACGTTTGTGATGACAGAGCATCAAACTGAAGCGAGGTAGACGGAGTATACCAACACCAATATCACCATACAATTAAGCAAATGAAGCTTCACCGAAGACCCCATAACCCTTTTAATACTTCTTTCCCGGTAAGAACATTCTTCATAACTGCCTACCAGTCTGTTCTTGTCACCTAGTACCACCTTCATTTGCTGAAGGAACCTTTGAGGGGTAGCTGGTCAGGTCCAAGTCAATAAGTGACATGTCATATGGCACTGACGAAGCATTTGAGGTATCAACAAGCAGGGAAGACTTCATTGCATCTGAATTTGCAGAATCAGGGATTGGGCCAGAGTTATTGGGAGTGCTTGAACTAGAAGATGAGAGACTGGAAAGCTGTATGTCATCTAGCTTGTTCCCAAACAGGTGCTTGTTTCTTCTGACAGCATCCATCTCTGGGCCAGTCGGCACAAAGGTGCGTGACCGATACTTCCTCTTTCCCTCATCACCCTCACTATGGTTGTAGAGCACATAATCATGATAGGTAGGGGCAAACTGCACAGTTACATATACTCATCAGAAAGGTTGAGCCAAGCTAAAAGAAAAAGAAAACCATCTCTGCTAGGCCATGGTAGAAATAACAATTTGAAAGGCTCACCTGGTGGACTGTATCATGGTAAAAGTCATTCAATTTTAAGGCATGTGCAAGGCTTCCAGTCAGACCTCGAGGCTCGCCAATATTTGCACCAGCATACTCCTTGTAGGGAAATGCATATAGATGACCAACAGCAGCAATTAGCATCTCAACACATATTATGAAATTTTGATATTGAGCAGCATCCTCTGCATTCTTTATTAATCCAGATTTGGCAGCAAGGAAAACCAACACACCCTAAAAGGTAAACAATAAGAGTCAGAAACGTACCGAATAAGTTTGCAACATGGGCCTCCCTATCAACAGGAAACAAAACATTCTATATCTTTTTCTCTTAATGCATAAGCATGCGATCCACAACTAAGTGCAAATTGCTAACACACAAAGACACCAAACAAAGTTTGCATCTTTAAAAATTTTGCCACTAATAAAGTGAGACATATGTTTACCTGCCAATAAGTGAGGAAAACAACAGATTTGATTATAATAAACTTTGGAACTGGATTGAATGGCTGAAGCAGATCTCTGCAAGCCACATAAAACAATGCCAAAGCATAAAGAGCCATCGTGTATGAGATTGTATAGATAATAGTGAGATACAGGTACGACTGATTTGGACTGAAATTTCCATCTGAATATTTCCCTTTTGCATAAAGTATGAGTGTAACAGCAACTAATACGGGCTTCAGTATAACAAACTGCAAACAGCCTTGCTTGCACCTACGTATGAAACGCCTGCATTAACAGTTTTAATCGTATGAGTTCATCAAACAATCCTCTAATAAATACAACATTATGACATATTGTTATATAAGAAACCTCCATATTTTCCAGAGATCTCCTTAGTTATGCAGTGCTCTGCCTATTATGTAGAGATTCCTGATTTTATCTATGTAAATAAAAACAAGGCTATTTACAACTTACAAGTAATACATGAAAGACCAAGAGCACTGCTAACATTTGAAAATAGTACACAGATATTTTAACTAGAGAAAAAAAAAATCCCACGTAATAATAGAATTCTGTGATTTTTCTTGCCCCAGAAATTCCTGGCTTGCAGATATGGCAAATTAAGCATAGATTGTGAACTCACCCATCAAGAGGTATGGGAGGGAGGCAACATGTCATCAGAACCCACGAAGGCTTTAGAATCCTACCAGTTAAACTCAGGACAACAGATCCTGGGCCACCAACCCATGCCAAGCACAGCGACAGAAAATTATAAATGACCCACGCTTCATAACTGAAACAGAACGAAAATAGCAATAGCATGAGGATAAAAGATACAGCTTGTAATTGCCTACAAATTATTCAGAGAAACAGATACTTAAGCCCCAGCTTGTAATAAACAGGTTAGAGAGAGAGAAAGGTAGTAAATGGGAGGGGAAAATTTGCCCTTGGGTTCACAAAACCCTTTCCACAAGAGGTCACCCTCATAGCCAGATGTTAAGGGCAAAACGGTGAAATACTCCTCACCTTATTTTCTCCCCTTTTTACGTTCTTATTTAAACAAGGGAAACGAAGGAACATAATATTTAGTAATTACATGTATAGTGGCAGCTTCATGCAAATGAAAGAAATACTTACACTTCCCTGATGGAATTAAAGTAGATTGAACTCGCAGGTAAAACAAGGGATAAGAAAGACATCAATGCATATACCTGTCAAGGAAAATAAAGTTCACATTGGTTACGTAAGTAAAAATTCAACAGAAACAAGCATTTCCAAGGCGTGACCTCTAAAATATCTTGAAACCAAGACGAACAAAGGAAACCAAAAAAAATTCTACTCAATTTTTGGTGGGGAAGTGGTAGAACCAACAGGAACTACAAGGTCCTGGAGCACTCTATTGCAACACACCCTCGTCTTGTTCATTTATCCCTTCAATTATGCTGGAAATTTTCTTAAAAGCTCATGCATAAACAATCTATACATAGCATATGCAAGCAGCAAACCTCAAGAGAAAACAACACAAGGAAATTGAAAACAGTACCAGAAGATAATCATCACTCCACGATTAACATTGACATGCTGACAACTCAGTAAATGACAAAGCAGAAATTTATTCAGCTAACTTCACACAAAAGTCGAATGAAATAATGTAACCGCAGCTCTAAAAAGCTATGCAACGAAACTGATAAGAAAATTTGGGTATGATAAAATCGAAATGATACAAATGATTAACATTTCAAAGTGGGGTTTTCTTCGAATTAAATACTCACTGGGACCATAAAGATAATGCGGACAATGTATCTCTGATAAGTAGGTTCTGTGTAATTCATGAGGTGCCTGTAGATGTGCAAAATGGCCAAAGCTATGGCTCCGACTGTGCAGAAAAAAGCGACAATGCTCAGGTAGATTGGGACCGATGCCGCCATTTTGAAAACCTCTAATCAAACCAAGCCCCTTTGAGCTAATCAATGATCAAAACCTGAGCAGAAGTGTTTATCAATATCTCTACGCAATATTTTCGCTTGTTAGAAGTCGAAGAATTCCATCAAAGTGAGGGAAGGGTGGGGAATTCGTAAACCCTAACCCTCACACTCTATTTGAATTGCTTGAAATGCCTGCAACCGTTGAAAATAAATTCATCAAAAAAAAAAAGAAAAAAAAGAGTGAAATCGAGAACGGGTAAACATCTCCGTTTAATTGGCTGAGAAAAAACAAAGGGTTTTGACTGAATTTAATTGGGAAGATAAATTGAAGGCGAAAGCTTGAAGGCAACTTTACCTTTGAAGCGTTTGAAGAACTAAAAATTAGGTAGTCAAGGCGTGAAGGTAAATTTGGAGATCTGCGAATGAGATGTGAAACCGTCGCCTGCGATAA